TATGGGACTTTTGGAGATTATTTTTCTAGAGAAATTCCTGTACTCTGTGCCAAATGGTTTTGAAATAGTCATCATTTCTCCCTGATGATAAACTATGTGGTATTGCTTTTTGTTCTAAAAAACAAAGGCAAAATGTGTTTACAGTTTCACTTTGAGGTTCTTTAGAAAGAATTCTTGTAAACCTTAGTGAATGACAAATACATTTTAAGCAAAAAATTGGTTCAAATTGGAAAATATCAGTCTCCCACTTGATTCATTAACCACCAAAATACTTGAAGAACCAGTTGATAAAATTTCCAGTGTTCTGAAAAACTATGAAAGTGTTTTAACCCCAGCTTGTAATGTTTGGTGGTGGGAAAACTACAGTGACCACACCTGAGGGTTGAAATCATATGTTGTCCAAACCTTAAATTTAAAAAAAAAGGCACAATGACTGATGTTTTTTGTGTCTGCCACACGCTTGTTATGCATTCACACAGCTTAATACGTTTCAAAAAATTGTCAACCTTTTCCTGTAGTAGAGTGATAGACAATATTGATTATTTTGGAGTTCTTTTGCTTTCTTAAAAGATACTTGTGACAGTATGCCTCTTGTCCTTTATACTTTGCTGCAATTCTTTTAAATTTTAGACTCGTAGTAATATTGAAATCATATATCTTCCTAGGAATTTTATTCACATACGTTACAACACACTGCAAATATTTTTCCCTCTATGTCAGTTGGACCAGGTTATAGCCTCCTCCTGATTATGATAACTCACATTAGTCAGGAGTCTTTTAGTTGCAATGGATAGAAGCCAAACTTAAGCTAAGTTAGGCAGAAGAGGATTTTATTGGGAGGATTGGAGTATCTTAAGCTAAATTGCCTGAAAGAACAGCAGGGGAGCAGCTGTATCCCCAGGACAGCTGGAAATGAGGACGCAGCTGCAGCTCATGCTCTGGCCTCTCTCTGCATTCCCTTCATTCCCTTTTACTGCAGATCAGATTTCTCCCAGTGGTGGGGTACACAGCCTTGGGGCCTCTGCTAGCTGGTAATGTCACTTTTGGGCAAATTAAAAAAGGCGCTTCTCTGAGTAAAGGCAGACTCGCAGTTGCATAGTTTGGAAGCAGAAGGCACTTTGTGAAAAGAAAGGGCACTCCTTTTTCTTGGATACATCCCTATACCAGGGCCCAAGCTTTGGTCAGCAAAAGCATGTGAGATTTCAGCCCCAACCCTCTGTTCGCCTGGAGAACCTTGTACAGAGTACAAATGGGATCTAGTGACCCAGCGTGACCTCTGATTTCTCATCGCTTCTGCAATGATGAACTCATGCTTCTTGCAGGCCCATGTGACTGGGCTCTGAACCATCCAGTTAAGTTCAGGTAACCCCTTGTGACCAATCAGCTAGGGCAGGGGTACAAGGTTCACGAACAAGTCTAGTGCACACCTCTCCCTTGGCATTGGGGCCACCCCCAGGCAAGAGCAAATCTTTGAGCAGGCATCCAGCTGTTGGCAGCTTCCACCCTGCGCTGGATTGTTTTTCTATGAGTAACTTTCATGAATTGATGCTTGTGCATTTATCCCACTACTAACTTATCAAATGTCATTGAATAGGCTGGGGAAATATTTATGTTATTCGTGATGATTGGGTTTCAGGTTTTGACTGCCCAGTGATTTTGTTTTGAATTTGTAAGAATCAACTCAAAGTTAGAAATCAAGATTTTTTTCCCCCCTTTATCCTATGTTATCAGGCTCAAAACTGCTTTCAGACTCATGCCATCCTGCTTCCCACCTCACCTGTAACTGCTGTTCTCGAAGAAATTTAACATGGTCCTTGATGTGTTTGGGGAACATTCTATTTTCCTTAGTTTGGTTCAGTGTTGATGGCTACCTGTGGGAACTTATTTCATCATCAAATTGATCTTCACTCCAATATTACAGTGATTTGACTCATTTAATTTAGACATTTTCTGGAGCATTTTATTTTTCTCCACTACTGAATTTTCATTGGCAAAATAACTGGGGTAGCGGAGTCTCTTTTTTGGTAACTCTGCATTCTAACCCTTAGAACTGAGGATGATGGGAATTTTTAAGCTTCACCATTTGCCTTGACATATTTGTATGGCTGAAGATAAATGTGGTCACTGTAGTTCATCACATAATTTCACAACTCTCAACCCATATGTTGGCCCCTCGCTGGAAACCACCACATGTTAAGACATTTACATCAATTCCAGACTTAACACCCCAAATTCGTGTTAATGGTGGTACTTATGGAAATATGCAGCTCTCAACAACATTCTTGACTAACCAGATATACGCTCAGAAATATTTGAGGATATTGAGAACATAGGCTTTTATTTTGACATAATTTGTAAACAACTGTAGGTACCAAGGGGAAGGTTGAAAATCATACCTAAATATAGCTATAATATTTTAAAAATAAGTGCCCTCAACATTAAGGAAGTGTAAATCAAAATCACAATGAGATACCATTTCATACCCATTAGGAGGGCTTTTTAAAAAAATGGTAATTCCTTAAAAATTATAGACTCACTACATACCCATTTCTGGGTATATAAAAAAAAATTGAAAGCAAAAACTTGAACAAATGTTTGTACACCTATGTTCATAGCAGTGTTATTCACAATAGCCAAAAAGTACAAATAGTTCAAATGACTATGGAGATATAGATAGATACATACATACATACATATGTGTTTATATATGTATAAAATTAAATATCACTTGGCAATGAAAAGGAAAGATGGACTTTGTCAATAATTTTAAATGAAATAAGTCAGACACCAAAGGATATACAATGCATGATTCCACTTTGGTGAGTATCTAACTCAAAATTCAGAGATAGAAGAAAGTGGAATGGTTCTGCCAGGGGCAGGGGAGGAAGAAATGGGGAATTGGTGTTTAATGGTTACAGAATTTCCATTTTGCAAGATGAAAAATATTCTGGAGATAGACAGTGGTGATGGATCAACAACATTGTAAATGCACTTAATATCACTGAATTGTACACTTAAAATGATTAAAATGATAAATTTTATGTTATATATATTTTATCACAATTAGAAGAGTAGCAACCTCAGCAAACACATTTGTCCAGAAAAGAACAATGAGTTAGCTGGAAATAGTGCTATTGGGGTATTATCATTGAATCATAACTCAATGGAAAATGGATTATTTTAAAACTATAACAGAATGCAATTTTCATAGGTGCTATCTGATGACTACAACCTTTTTTTTCCCTTTGGAAACTGACAGCAGGCCTATTCCTTCAGCAGCTGTGGCTCCCGCATGGCAACCTACACACTGGCCCTACACAATGTATCCTCCCTGGGGAATCTGCTTAGTTACCCCAAGACTTAATCTTCTGTCTATATGCTGATGGTTCCCAAATGTGCATGTCCATTGCCAATGCATGTTAAGTATCTCCACTGGGATGTCACCTAGGGACCTCAAAATATCAAAGATCCCCTCTTTTCTCACACGTCTTCCTACCTCCAGTGGCCATTCTCTGGCATCCCCCCTCAGTTACCCATGTCTCACTATCCAGCCAAGCAAGCCACGAACCCCAGTCATCCTAATGTCTCCTTCTTCTTCACCAGCCACTTCAATTAAGTCATCCAGTCCAGCTGTGTCCCCTTCCTCCAATCCCTCCAAATGTCCCCTCTTACTGCCTTTGCTCAGGTCTTCCTTATTGCATTTAAGTCTACCACAGCCTCCTGCTTGAGATACTCCCAACATGCAGCAAGGTCTTTACAGCTCTGCACAAAACTTGTTTCTGTTTGGGGGTGACCTGAACCCACAGACAACTCAGAGATCCCTTTACAGGCACTCAGGCAATCTCAGTCGAGTTAAGACTCATCATCAGTTCTTCAGTCTGGTCCTCATTTTCCTGCCTAGTCTCCTCTTCCAGCTCTCCTCCATCCACACCTTCCACCCACCAGAGCATCCCTTCTCAATGTTTTCCTGGGCAGGAGAAGCTGTTGCTGCCTCCCTGTCTTTGCACTGGTTTTAGTAACGCATTCAGGAGCCCGGCCTTGTCATGTGTGACCCTGAGCAAAGTATTTAATCCCACTAAACTTCAATTCCTCTTTTGTAAAATAGAACAAATATCTACCTTGTAAAATTTAGCAAGGATAAAATGACATATACAAAAGCAGTTTGGAAACCATAATATGTTATTTTGTGATTCATCGAAGCCTGTCTATCTATAATGCCACTCAGTCGCCTCCAAGGAGTCTTTGTGATTTCCTAAACAGAAACCACTTCCTCCTCTCAGAAGCCTGCCTTGCACAACTCAAATGCTCTATTGCTTCCATTGATGCCCTTAAATTATCCAAAGTTCAGGTCTTATGTCTACAATCAGGGCCTGGAACGCCATGAAGTTAGCCTACTCTCCCACTCTATGACTTTACCTTCACCCTGTCAGCTCTCAATAATTTAGAGTATTTCAAAGAAAAAAAAAACTTCTGAGATTAGAGGAGGTAGAAACCAAAATTTCCCAGTGGTGAAAGAGCAGAGAGTCTTCTGCTTGGGGTGTCCCTTAGAATCATGGATATACCACCAAATAATGAGCACATCCAGAGGCACCCCCTGCGAGCTGGAATGACAATTGCTGGCCCAGCCATTGTTTCTCCCTAAGCCTGGCCTGTGTCAGTCATCACTGGTCAGACGTGACCTTTGTCTTGCTGAGACTGCAGTGTCCTAGCAGCTTTTTCTGCACAGCTTCAGGTGACCACAGTGGGATGATCAATTTTAGCAAAGAGATAAAAATCACTTTCTAGCCACAAAACTGAGAGATGCCCCCAAATAGCTGCCCTAAAGACAGAGCAAAATAATGGGCTAAAAGGGAAAGATTACTTTAGATCTGGCAAATGAATGCACTAGGGTTAAAGGGGCCGTCAAACCCTGGATGCTGGCTCAGGACTGGCTATTGTGGAGGACAAAACCCAAAGCTTCTATTTATGTAGATTTTGTCCCTTACTTGGAAGGTCAGAGATCAAAAGCCATCCCCTTTAAGAACCCCAAGAGCCACTGTTGATGGATAAAGGAATCTGAGGATCTTATGTTCCATGAAAGGCCCCCACCTCAATTTACTTGGTGCCCAGCAGTTGTGTCTAGGTTTCTCTTCTCTTCCTGAAATGGGGCCAACAGAATGTCTGCCTGCTTTCCTACACAAAGGGCATATGTGTAATTAATAGGATTATGCTTGGAAGGGGGAGACTAGGCTGTAATCACCCAGCAAAGGACGGACACATCACGCTCAGCAGGAGGTTCTGGGACCAGCATTTCTGTCCATTGCCGTCCTGCGCCGTGACTGCAGACGAGGACCAGGGAGAGTTCCCGGGGGTGCCAGCATGGCCTTTGCAAGACAGATCCAGCTCTTGCTCTGGAAGAACTAGACCCTGCGGAAGAGACAAAAGGTAACATGTGCAGCCTGTGGTCTCAAATTGAGGTGGTGATGGGTGGAGGGAGTAGAGTGGGGGAGGGTATGTGTGCAGTCAAGACACTGGTCACTATTAGCCCTGAACTAGTCGCTCAGTAAGCCTCTCCAATAAGAGTCTTCTCAGAAAATGGGCTTCTCTGTCCTAGTCAGAGGCTTCCTTCCAAGCCCCATGCAGTCACATTCGTATCTTCTTTTGTTGCCTTGCCTAGGAATGCATTGTCTGCCATGCCCTTCCCCAGACTTCTACCCCTTTTGCCCCCTGGGCCTGCCAGACTCATCCATATGCCTTTCAGCATCCATGGTTCACAGATGGAGAAGCCTAAGCCCCGAAGAATGAGCTCAAAGGGAGATAATGTTCTGCAAGAGTTTCCCAGCCCACAACACTGTAGCTCATTGGTCCTGTGAGGCTCAGGTGATCTGTAGGGTGCAAACCCCAACTGTGCCTCTTACAGACAATGGCCACTTATATTTGGTGAGATCTGATGCCTAACCAACCACCACGGACATCTACGAGCCCCTCAGTGAGCAGACGCAGGACGGGATGAGATCAGGGGCCTAGTAACATAACCCACAGATTGTACTTTGCAGTGACTTCTTTGCTCACTGGAACAATCCAAATTGGACGCTGAGAGCAAGAGCAATAAAAAGCAGTGAAAGCCAGAGAGCCCGGAGAGACACAGGCAAGAGCCACAGGAAGTCAGAGGACCCCAATGGTATACATATAAATGCCAACTGGCCTCTACATTTTTTTTTCTGGAAAGGGATGAAAAGTGGACTTAAGACGATGAAGAAATGATGCACTTTCCTACAGCTTTGCAGCAGCCTGGAAATGACTAAAGGTGCCTGAATAGGCGGAAGACCTGGGTGTGGTTGGACAGGGCTGAGGCTAGGAAGACAGGAACCAGGCAAGGCAGGGAGAGCTCAGAATCACCACTATGGGGAAGAAGAAAAAGATTTGTTCCAAACCTCAATTCAGGTCTGAGCTTATGTAGGTAAGACAGGGTCTCTGGGCCACTGGAAGGAATGTTCGGGAGGAGAGGTGCTGGGAACAGTGGAACAGCTGAAGACCTATGTTTGATTGTCTCTGTAAGGGCCAGTCACAGAGAATCTAATATAAAAAGGCATTAGCTGAGAGGAAGCCCAGCGGATAAAAGCAAATTCAGGGTAGCATGGAGACAGCAATGCAGGATGAATCTGCCACTCTGAGAGTGGAGGGAAATAAGGTGGAATTACTAAGACGTGGAAATGCAAAGGAGATGTGGGTAGAGTTGAAAAACCCTCTATGGTGAGGTGGGTTCATTCAGGCTGAGAACCTTGGCTGGGGAATCTCCAGGGTGCACCTAGTCTGGGTTGCCTTCTTTTCATGCCATCCTGATGGCCTGGAAGTTGAGATCTGTGTCTGGTATGACTCCACCTGCTGGCTTCCCCTGCTACCACATACCAGGTATTTCTGAAACAGAGGCCGCACAGCTGCTGCTACTGCAGGGCGAGAAGGGGCTTATAGGCTGGTGTGCATTTAGTCTGTGGCCAGGCCCAGCCCCCATAGCATCACCCTGGCTTGGGGAAAGTGCCTGGCCCTGGCCCTGGATTCCCTAAGTGCACAACCAAGAGCCTGCGTAGACCTCCCGGTTGGTCAGGTCTGGATGCGCAGCTGGGGTTCCGCGTTTGATGGGATACAGGAGTTAGAAATGGACGGAGCTGATTGGTGCTTCACCGGCACCAATCAAACAATTAAGATGGTAAACGGCCCAATCAGGCTTGAAAGGCAGTGGCTACAAGCCCGGGTTCCAGTCAGTCAGGATTCATTCAGACCTTGGGATCCGGACTCATCTGGGAGACTCCTGTGCACCTTGGGAAAGAACTTCGGAGACTTTGGGAGACCGCGGGAGACCTCCGAGACCGCTGCACCTGATCTTGGCCTCAAACCTCTGCCTTACGCTGCTCCCGCCTCCGACCCTGCCTGGCCGCCACTCTTAGCCTGTGCCCTTTGGCCTGGGCCATGTCTCTAAGAGGCTGTGAGCGCGCACAGGGCTGTGAGGCCTGTGCTCTGCACCACGGCCCTGCTGTGCTGTGTCCAGCTAGCGCTTCTGAGCCTCTGCCACCACCTCCTGGTGCTGGCGCTGTCCAGTCTGGTGTCCAACCCAGGCTAGCCCGGCCCTCGAATAGGTGTTGCTGCGTGCTTTGGCATTACTCCGCAGCGCTGAACCTCCAGCTGTGCTTGGGGTTAAATCTTGACACTGCCCCCTTGTCAGCAACCAGTGGCTCCAGCCTGGTGGGAGGGACAGGGCACCATCTTGAACCAACAGCCCTTGCTTGGGGCTACCGACTCTGCGGACACCATCTGGGGTGGGACATCCAGCCATTTGTGGCCTTAGAAAATCTTTCCTTTTCCCAATCTTCCATTTATTAATGAACCCTATCATGGTTTTGCCCGAGCCTGAATTTTGTTTTGCGATTGTGAGCGCACAGGTGAGAATTCGCAATGACCGCTCCCCTAGTCTTGGCACTGTCTTTGGCACTGTTTGAAGTAGATTGAATGTCCTTTGAACAATGCTTTATTTGCATGATGTCTGGGTAAGATGGAGTCACCTTCCTTACCCCAATATCTCTGAGAGGGGTCTGTGGCTCCTTCCATAGCTTTGAGTTATTCTGGAATTTCTGCTTCTACAAAATGATGACTAATAAAAGCACGCAACACACCCAGCCTATAACTCAGCTTCTAGGTTTTTAATTCCTCAAACTTCCCAAGTTTGGGGTATTTACTATTGTGAGCAAGAGCGAAAGCAGACACTGAATTTCCCCTTCCTTCTCTCCCAATCCCTAAGGGCATAAAATGAAAATCTCCAGATCTCTACTTTACTCCCTCCCTCTCTTCCTCTGTTAACATTTATAAAATATTACTCAGTGCCTGGCACTGTATTGTCACCTCATTTAACCCTCACCTCAGTTCCATGAGAAAGATACCACTATCATCCCAGGAGCACTGATGAAGTAACTGAGACTTCAGAGAGGGTTAGTGACAGGTGGGGCTGGACCTGGGGCTCCAGGACAGGCAAACAGACCCCACCCTGCTCCCGTGTGCCAAATCCTATCTAATAGGCTGGTCATGAAGACCACAAAGATAGGGCGGTCACCTCATTTAGCATCCAAACCAGGGCAGTTTTGAAAATAAAAGGGGGTACTATTAACATGACTCCAGGAAGTAATTAATATAAACTAACAGTGGGCCTGGCTGACTTGCCTGTGGGGTCACCCTGTGCCTCCTATTCAGTCAGCTGAGTTAGACACAGCCCCCACACACACAGGTACCCAACAGAAAGAGGGGTGCGACAGTGGAGGAGAATGCAGTTCAGGGTTGGGGACAGGATGAGATCTGGGAGCTTCAAAGAGAAACTGGGGTTAGAGTGGGTAGGAAGAGATTCCTCAAGGCATTCAACCCTGGAATTTGCATTTGCAGTGACCAAAGCTTTCCCCACGGACAAATACACATCTGCCGGATGTGCTGTGGGCCAGGCACTGTGCCAGGGAGGATTTAGAAAGAGCATGAGGTGTGGCTCTTGATCCTGAGAACTCAGTCTAGGGCTCCTAGCTATCATCTGTCCCAGCTTCTGAGTTAGGGCAGGATAGGCCTGAGGGGAGGATGAGGACTCAGGAGAGTAGAGGGCTTCTCATGTCCCAGACACCGGCCTGGGCACCTCGTCGGTGCAGATGCAAGAACTGGGCAGGTGCGTGGACATTGGGCAGCCAGCTAAGGGACCTGGGCTCTGCGTCCTGTTCCTCCAGGCTGAACATCGCGTCTGGGTTCTCAGTGCAGAATAGAAGAGACTGCTGTTCATTTCCAGCCTCGGGTACCCACTTTTAAATTGAAAACAGAGCAGAAGGGAAGAAAGTTGAACTGGCCAGGATTTAAAACAAGTACAACTCTGCCCTTCCCTGCGACCCCTCCTCTCCCATGTAGATTGAATGGTAAAGAGAGGGGGATGGGAAGAAAAAAAAAAAGACAGAACAAGGAAATACCAGTTTGGAAGGGAAAAAATTTCCACAGGCCCCTTCTGAGCCTTGGCTGGGCTTAATTAAAGTTACAGGCATGTTTAAAGGGAAGGGGTGGGGGGAGTCAGAACTGCTCTGAAAACATGTTTTTAATTACACTGTGGAATTTCTCCCTAGGGTATGCTGCCCACAGTGGAGCATCAAGGATGGGCCCGCTGCGGGTGGGGGCAACGAGCTGGATTCTCTGAGGGGAGGAGAAGAGGTTGTGGGGAGGACCTAATGGGCTGTGAAAGAATTGCCAGGGGTCTCTGTGCAGGGAGTGTTGTGTAAAACGTGCATGGTCCCTCCAAAACAAACCCATGCAGAGTTAGAATGATAATACGACCTCTCAACAAATGTCTTCCAAAGATTCCCAACCACTACCTATACCAGTGGTTCTCAGCCCAGCTGCACATTGGAATTACCTGAGCTGTGTTTAAAAAAAAAAAATTGATATCCCATGTCCAGAGATATGGGTGTAATGGATGGGGCACGAGTGATTGCAGAGGGGCAGGGATGATAGGCAGAAAGCATCCCTAATTTGGAGGTGAGGTGCTAATTCTAAGGCCAAACAAAGATAAAGGAGGAAAGAGAATCGACATGTGGCTTCCCACTGATGGAGGACTTTAAGTCATCACACCTTGCAAAGACTGAAATATGAGGATGGAGAGTGAGGGACGCCTGCTGCACAAGGAGTGCAATACAAAGAGGGGCCCAGAGCAATGTTAGGGGTGCAAAGAGGGATGAGATGCACTACCTTAAACTTGGGAATATTATCCAGGCCCAGGTGAGCCAGGTGGGCAGATCCCTCACCTGTGTGTGCTTAGTTTCTCAGCAAGTCCCAGGTTTCCAAACTGGCAACTAAGCAGGAATCTAGAAAGGGGAAGGCAAGGAAACATACATGGGACTGGAGCACAGGCCTGAGAGTTTGCAGATAATTTGAACTCTACCTCCCTGCCCTTCGGCTTTTACACGCTGCAATCTCCCTGCGACCCTTGTAAGAAATGAGAATCAGTAATGAATGGTTCCTGTTGTTGAGTGATATCTTGTGCTAGATTCTGCTCTGGGTGCTTTACACTGTTAACTCACTTCATCCTCACAACTACTGTGGGAGGTAGGTCCTGCTATCACTCTCATTTTACACATGAGACCCCTAGGTATGGTTATATAGCTAATAGGAAGCAGGGTTGGATAAGAACCACAGCACTTATATCAATCCTCAGCATACATTATTAAGATAAAATAATCCCACTTTACAGATGGGAAAACTGAGAGTCAGAGTGATTCTTAACCCAGACTTTCCCACTCCCAGATCAGCATCATTGTCTAGTGCATCAGACTAGCTAGACACTGCCACATGATAGACAGCTGACTTACCTGGGAGAAACGCAGGGTTGCTAGCATTCATCTTAAGTGTAGAGTCAGGAATGGCCACAGTGCAGGTTTTCTATGATCCAGCAGACTGGGTAAAGGAGAAGTCAGAGTCCTCAGTGGTTTTTGCAGGCTTTTTATTGGGATTTACCCGGTACACAGCAGGCAAGGGTGCTGGGGGGCCAGGAGGCTGGCAGGCCTCCCAGCCCCCAGCAGGTCTTCACTCTATCTGGGCTCTTCGGCCTTCTCTCTGCTTCTCTCTCGGCTTCTGCTGGTGTCCCCATGATGCCGCCCTTAAAAGTCCAGTCTCAGCCCAGATGAATCCCATCTACCTATGCCCACACCCTATTCCAGGTGCCCGCCATCAGGCATGCATTCAGGACCGCAAGGATCCATCATCTATCCTGATGGTGGGAAGGCAGAAAAGTCTGACATTTTTCCTTACCCTACACTGACTTACCTGGGAGAAACGCAGGGTTGCTAGCATTCGTCTTAAGGAAGCATCAGTGTATAGAATCTGAACTGATTGCCTCATTCCTTGGAGAAATCACCAGGAACAACTTCCGTTTCATCACTTGATATATCACTCACATTGCTAATTTGTCAATCTTGCTTCCTGACTACCCACTGACAGGAGGAACTGAGAAGGGAGGTCTCCAGGCAGCAGACATGCCCCTGGACATTATTGGGCACCTATTATGAGTCCTGTCCTATGTCGGGTGCTAGAATCAAAGATGTGACCAGGATAAAGGTGGTCCCTGACCTCAAGGAGCTTGCCATGACCCTGGAGTCTGACAAGTGATAAGCTGGGGAGTTGCAGGTGCTGTGGTGGGCGAGGATGAGAGCAGCGAGCTGGGTGGTGGGGAAGAGGCTCAGCTTGCCTCCTGTGATGTGCATGCCTTGGATGAACTGCCAGCTTCCCAGTGACTATCAAGTGTGCTTGGGGTCTGTCCCTTAAATACTGATGGGAATTGTTCAATATTGAGGGTTTGCTAGCATGTAGGAGAATGTGTAGGAAGGAATCCTGAAAAATGAGTCCCCTTCTCATTAGTCCTCTAAATAGTTCTCTTTGTGTGTGTTTCCTCTAAACACTCTTCCCAGAGTTATTTTGATAAAATATTTTGCAAAAAGTTACAACTACATAATCATGACCTGACCTCAACATTGCATTATCCTCACAACCCTCACATGCATTTCTGTCATGATCAGTAATAATTGGGTTGCCAGCAGAGCTTATTAGCAGGAAAGGAACATTTATTGAGCACCTGCTATGTGTCCATCATTTTGCCAAATATACATATATTTCTTTGGAAATAAAAGGTAAAAGGCCATGTGAATATAAACAGGTATCTCTCACTTTTCAAAAGTTCACTTTTCCTTCCCTGAAAACTATTTTGCACAGGTTGTATATTTATCACATCATTCCTACATAATTGCATGCAATTCCCTATATCTTACTATATGGTAGTGTTGTTATAAATTTTAGTGTAATTATGTGCAATTTGTTAGGTTATTTTGAGATTCTGGCATTGCTTAATTTTTTTCCCATACAAATTAATGACAACTACTTCTTTACTGTATACCATTTCAACTTGGGAAAGATTTCCTTAGAAACACTCTACTTTCTGATAATAGGGATAAACCTGCATAAGTCTCTATTTTTGACTATCTGCTTAAACTCTCCTTTAGATTTTAATGAGTTTTCTTCCTAAAATCTCTGGAGGGGGGATTGAATAGATGAACTATTCCCCAATCCACACCCTACTCTCTCTATCCCTGTCAGTCTCATACCTCCAACCTCCCCACCCCGCATGTGCAGTACCACAGGGTGTGGGGTTCTTCTTTGGAGTTGAGAATCCTCAAACTCTAAATTGAACCTAAATTTAAATACCAACTCTCACCTATATGCTGACATCATGGGTTCTTACCACATTGTAAAAACCCAGGACAGTGTTCCCTGCCTTGTGTCTTTAAGCAACAAAAAATAATTGAAAGAAAGGTGCTGATCTTGCACTAATGCAGTTTCCTAAAATAAAGGGAAGGTAGAACCCAGATGGACACCAGATCTTCTTAGTGCAAGGAAAAGGTAGTGTGGGAGAGAGGCTAAAAGAAGGAAATAAGGATAAAAGAAGGAAATCCTTCAGTTACGTACACCCCAGCTAAAATTCCCATTGTACAGACCAGTGCTTGGGCAAAGAATCTGCTCTGGGAATGTTTCCAGGAATATTTTAACATCGCTGGTCTTTCTTTCGCTTTGTTTTTCCAGCTTCGTTTTGTGGTGGAACTCGTGTGGCCCCTATCTTTATTTCTGGTCTTGATCTGGTTAAGGAATGTCAAGCACTTCTACAGCCAACATGAATGTAAGCATGATGGGGTATGATATGAGGGAAGCCTTGGCAAACCTGAGGTCCAGTCCTTTTGTTAGAAAAGTCTTGGGGGTTACAGGTGCCAGGATTGAATCTGCTTATCATTTTATGCCCATAATGCTGAAAACAGAGTATCAAGATTATATAACCTAATTTTTTTATCCTACACATTCTATGTAGATTCTGGTATGTAGTTACTGAAGAATTATGAAATTATATTTGTTTGGTTTTGATACCTTTGAAGGGAGGAGATAATAGACAATTTCTCTAAAAATTTGGGAGACCAATTTAGGGATACATTATATATGGTCAGAGAAAAATGAGAAAACATGCTATACAATCATACCCAATAACATTTTATTCCTTGGATCCCAGGGCTGTCCTGAGAGCTAGGGTGAGTCTGAGAGTGCCCTTATACCTTCCCCCTCCAGGAGAGTATAAAAAGTGATTTCCTCTGATTTCTGGTCAAGATGACATCTCCTCCCACTAGGCGACTGATGGGGAGACCTCAAGAGTTACGCAAAGCTACTCAGCCCCCTGTTCTTGCTCCTCATCCTTTTTTTTTTAAAGATGTATTTATGTATAGAAGACTGGTATGTAGGCCAGGGGTGCACCCTCTTTTTCATGTGTTCCATGCCCCAAGTTTGGCATCAGCCTCCTGTTCATCACACTGTTGCCCATAACCTGCACCGTCTTACAGCTTGGGTGTTAGTTCTCAGTACTCACTTGGAGGAACAGAACCCTTACTCCTCAAGCATCATCAACCTTGCCATGAGAGGCCTCATGAGCAAGCATCTCTGCACAAAAAGATACACACCTCCCTGTCCCCACCTCCGCACACCATCCTTGCTTTTATTAGAATGTTGCCTGTCTCCCCACTACACAGGGGGCATGAGAGGAGAGACTGTCTCTGGCACCAGCGCAGGGCCTGGGATGTATTAGATGATCCTGCTCCCTAAATGTTGGTGAATGAAGGAAAGCACCAGGGCTGCGGTCCTGCTTATTCCGCATGAATAACTCCCTTTCTTCATTTTCTGGTCAAAGGCCATTTTACCAACAAGGCGATGCCCTCAGCAGGAATGTTGCCATGGCTCCAGGGCATTTTCTGCAATGTGAACAATCCTTGTTTTCAAAGTCCCACCCCGGGAGAATCTCCGGAAATTGTGTCAAACTGTAACAACTCCATGTAAGTGTTGCAACTCCCACCACATGGGGACAGGAGGTGGTCCACCCTTCTGTTCTTGTCCTAAGCACATAATATTGAGTGTATTGCTGAGGTCTTACCTTCTTTGGATCAGGGCAGGTTTGTCTTCTGGAGCATCTCATGAGCCGTCAGAGTACTTAGGGAGAAAGCTTCAAACTAAGGCCGCATGGACATGATTTTTGGCCCATAAATTCCCAAGGTGTGACCACGGGTGCATCCAACAGCAGCAGCCTACGAGATGTGTCCGCTGGCTCAGGTCATCCATCTACTTGGGTGGAGGCATGACATGAGAAAAATTTGGTTCCCCTTCTGTTCCTGTACATCACTCTCTGCCCTGTCAACCCTGTGAGATCTCTGTCCCTTTAAAAGTCTTCTTGGACAGCTGAAGTCTAGAAAACATGTCAGGGAGCACTGCAAGGGTGAATGAAATCAGGTTTACAAGGCGAAGCTGCCTTCTCACAGTGGAATCTACGAGGTCCAGTATGTCTTTCTCTGGCATCTGCTGCTTTCACCTCTCTCCTCAGACCAGTGTCTTCTACTTTTCGCTGCGCAGGCAGACTTTGGTCTCCCAGTGCACAGTACCTCTGCTGGGCCAATCAGAAGAACATCCTTGAATACCGTTCAAATTTCTGGAAGCAAATCTGACTGGCCCATCTTCATTCTCCTTGTCCAGTGAGCCACGGCAGAGGTGTGTGTGCATGTACCTCAGGGTGCAGAGGAGGTGTGTGTGCATGCACCCCAGGATGCAGGGAGGAAGATGAGGATGAGCAGGCTGCCAGAAACTACCTGTGTGAATGGCCATAAGGGCAGATCTCAGAGAAGCGGATGATACCTGGGAAGACCCTCTGGGAATATCTAATATCTAATATCCTATTAGAGGCTTCTCTATGCAGGAGACACACAGAGCACAGGGTTGAGAGGTCACCCAGTCCTGCCCGAACTGGAAAACTAGACCCTTCCCCGACCCTCCCTCCCTCTTTTATCCTCTGTGCTACAAAGATAAACAATATCTCTTTCTCCTTTTGCCTTGGCATGTTGTAAAGATGGTTAATGTAATAGCCAGGTCAAGCACATGGTATCTTAATAAATATCACTAGGTATTAATGCTGTTGTTATGAATATGCCAGCTATGTCTTTATTAATGATAGTTTGTCTTTTTTACAGCTTGGCAAGGGTGTATCAAGATTTTAAAAAACTTGCAGATGCCCCAGAGAGCCAGCCCCTTGGCAGTATATGGGCAGAAGTTCGTACGTTGTCCCAACTCATGGACACCCTCCAGGCTCACCCAGACAGGATTGCAGGTAAGATGGGCTCCACTGTTCTAATCCCATTGGTGAGACTGAGACACAGGAAAGAGTGGAGAGATTTGGTGGGAAAATATACTCAAGGAGGCAGGGAGGGATCTGATTTAGAGGCAGGCTAAGGCTCAGAGAGCAGGAACAGTCTCATCCCAGGTAAGGCCAGAGACAGGCTGAGTCCAAGAGGAATGCCAAGAGAAATGGTGCTCTGGGAAGTCTGAGGCTAGATTAAGTACTGGAAGTGGGGGAGTGAGAGAGCAGGTGAGAGCAAGCTAATAGTATGTGTGAAAACAATATGAAGTAGCATTTTGGAGCCAGAGAGGTCAGAGACCATATGTTTATCATGACATTAAAATGCACAACTATTCCATTTCATCAATAATACTTAGCATCCCAGAGCCAGAGGCAAAGGAGGTGCAGAGTGGAGTAATGTGAGGTTCTGGCCTTGCATGGAGGTACTGCAAAAGGTTCAAGAGGTAATGAGGTTGAAAGCAGAGATTGAACTAACACATTTTGGGGCCAGGATGTGTAAGGGTGACTGAAAAGCCGGAAATACTAAAATGGGCCAGGGTAAAATTGAGGGGCAGGGAGTATATAGATCTGGGAGGGCCTGTGACTCTGTTTAAGGACTGAGAAAATTAAGGTCAGAAAGTGAAATCGTATAATGAGGAATAGAAACGTAATTTCAGTGGTGAACTTAATGTAGTATGTCCAGATGTTGATTTATAATGATGTACACCTGAAACATATAATGTAATGCAATATTAATTCAATAAAAACTTAAAAAGGAAAATGATAGCACAAAATAAAAATTAAAAAGTGTATTTAATGGTATTTCCATCAAAATCTCACAAAGAACTTTGAAAACTGGAAAAAACTTTTAAATCACATGAAAAATAAACAAGTAGCCATAGGGAGATACATACCCTACCAGATAGTAAAACCTGTAATAAACCAGACTATTTAAGGCATTTGGTACTGGTAGAATAATAAAAATGTGAAATAATGGGTCGATTCTATTATATATAAATAAATCTCACAATGATGAGTAAATTTAATGGGTAGGGGTATACACTATGGACTTGGAGGGGATGATGTGTCCCCGCAGGCTCACCAGTTGTAACAATGCTGCACCCTGGCGGAAGCTCTGATGTGTGGGGCAGGGAGTAGATGGGAAATCTGTACCTTCCTCTCAATTTTGCTATGAACCTAACACTGGTCTAAAATAATAGAATCTTTAAAATAATTTTTTAAATATGAGAATCCAGGACTTCCAAGGCAGGCAGGACAGGTGAGAACAAGCCCCCAGGTGTGGAGAGGAGGTGAGGGTTTAGGTGTAGGGCAGGCGAGTCCAGGCTGGATGGTCACATGTGGACACAGCTTGGAAGGGGAGTTGGCAGCTGCCTCTCCTGTGTGTCTCCTCCCAAGGAGAAAACCAAGGAACAGAGCCCACCCCACCACCCACACTGACATCTTTTTCAAACACAGGAGGAAGTTAGTGGTCAACAGCAGGTCCTCTGCAGATCCAGAGTGACTGGCCTGGCAGCAGCCAGGGTGTCAGCTGAACCCAGAGGTTACTGCAGAGCTGGGGTCAGGGAAAAGGTCACAAGGGTGGGGACAGTGTTCAGGGGGTGAGCTCAGCTGTGGATTAAGGGATCTGGAGAAGTCCCCTCCTATGATGGAGTTAGGGGATGACTCTCAGGATGACCTTAGAAGATGACAGGAATGAGGAAGGGGTCCCACCATGGAGATGTGGGGAGATGGATAGAAGAACTCCTGCTGAGGGGGTCAGGGGATCTGGACAAGAAAGGTGGGAAGTGGTGCCAATCAGTCGGGTCCTCCCTGCAGCTCACTGCACATTCAGCAGATGGTTGGTGAGTGCCTGCTGAGCAGGGCACACTGCCCGCCCCCTGGGGCTCCCAGCATAGAAGGGGGCCTGAATGAACATGACCACACCATGTGGGGGCCCCTGGAAAATCTGATCCTCCCATCTGAGCACCTTCCACCTATCCCTCCTCATGAGCGACAGGAGTGTGTTCAGATGGTACATGCAGCTGCTGCCTCACATTCTAATTCTTTCAAAAATAGTAACGCATACACTTCGGTGGCAATTCTCTACAAACCAGATCACAAACGCTGCATTCTTTGCTGCTCTGGGTAGAAACTCAGTGAGCTCAGGCTTGAAGGACTTCAAAAGGTAGGAGCACAATTAGCATTCTAATCATAAGGAAAGGGGGAGGGGTAGTCACCAACCAGAAGCCTTTTTTCCCCCAAGATTCAACAAATAGACCAGAACCTGGGGTGTCCAGCTCCTGGGTTGACTGTCTGCCCCATTTACCCAGCAGACATTTCATTTCAGTATCTAATCGGCAGCTGGAGTGTGTCTGGGAGGAAGTCATCTCAAACCACAATTTCTCTGTGGTCTTTTCCAGTGAGTCTGTGGGGACCAAAACCACTACTCCTAACCCCAAAGCAGGACTGATTTGGCGCCAACCTATTGGTGGTTCCTTCTATGCATCTTCAGACTGTGGAAAATATTTTGCGAAAGGAGCACAGCCTCAGAGGCACAAGGAGGAAGGTCACAGAGGCCATCCAAAGTCCCTCTTCAAAAAAATCTGGGGTCTGGGAGCACAGACCTCAGTAGAACCCCTGACTCTGGTGGTCATGAAAGGGTGCATGAAGGAATTCCAGGCAGGGACTCAAGTCCAGTCAGCACAGCAGACTACCTCAGTCTGTCCCAGGTGAACCCAAAGCCACAGTGAAGGGTTAAACCTTTGAAAGGAGGGGGCCAGAGGCGGCTGAGGTGTGCTTTTGCTTGTCAGTACCTGGTCACCTGGGAAGTATGCTGATGGCTGACCCAGGCAGCTCTCTCCCTTCCCAGCAAACCTGTAGTACTGCATTCTCGCCAGGGGAGGATTAATGGTAAAAAGACCAGCCTTGAAGCCCCCTCCCCTCTCACCCCCAAGCAAGCTCTGTGGTCTCTCAATCATCTTTAAACACCTTCCCTTGTGCCTCAAGCTCTTCTGGTTTCCATCCCACCCCAGCCCATGGCTCCCCCAGCTCCATGGCTCAGCAGCCCCCAACCCCCAGCTCTAATCTGCCCAGAAAAGAGAACAAGAAAAACCACATTTTAAACTAAATTTATTTTTCTTTCCTCAGGCCCCCAGTTCACATTTCTCCCTCAGAAGTTTAGAGGAGCTTCTGTCTGGTATCAGGCCACCTCTTACGTTGGGGCCCACGCTCTCCCTGCAGGGTGGGCTGTCCCCCAGGTGTGTGAGCCAGCAGCTCCTGCCCCTTCCCTCTGGGGCTATGGCAGCTCAGTCACCTGGTTGAGAGCAAAATTGCTCCCCATTTCCCTCATTTTTTGGTCCCTATCCTCAGCAAGATATTTGTATGTAAGGTCAGGTGAGTGAGTTAAAGAATAACGAAGAGATAAATAGTGAAATGGGACCAGACTCTAGGTCAAGACAACAAGTATTTATTGTGCCTCCTGTAGTTCACAGACTTTTGTCCAGACACCCCAATTCCATGCCAGGCTCTCATGCTGGTGTCAGAGCAAGGTGACTTCAAGGGCTCACCCCTGAGCACTCAGAATTGCTGGTAGGATGAGGGGTGTAACAGTAGAATCCACAGCTCCTCCTCTCAAAAGTCTCTGTGTCTGGGAGGGGAGGGGAGGGGTGGAGTAGCTGGAGACCAGGGTATATAATATAATGTTTATATAAAGAAGAACACTTGAGTAGAGGAAGGAAGAACAAAAGCGGGAGAACTAGGTTTGGAAGATGACAGGACTTATGTTTTTGAGGAGGAGAGAAAGCGAAAACAAAATAGGGCAGCCCCTCTTAGATCCCTCCATTTCTCTCGAGACTGTCCCTTGCTCCCCCAAAGCCTTTGGGCTTTCCTCAGTGAAGTGTAGTGACGCTAAGAGGCACCCACCATAGTGAGCAAGGCCGCTGTGTGGTGGGAGCTCAGAGCCAGTTGCCCTGCCCTACCTGTGTGGACAGGCCTGACCCATCCCATTTCATGAGAAGATTAACAGCGACTTCCATCTGGACAAGGCACTGCATGAGGATGGCCGTCACGCATTTGGGGGGTCGCCTGTGGCTGCCTGGTGAGGGGAAATTTGGGCAGGAGAAGCTGGGGTGCTGTGATGGTAGGACCACAAAGCGGCAGGGGCATTAGAGGGTTAATTAAAGAAGAACCAAGAGATAAGTAGTCAACCAGGTTTCTGGAGAAGTTGGGATATAATGACAGGCATTTCCACACAGACCCAAACCAAATGCTTTCTCTTGATGTTGAAATTATTTCATAAATATCTGGGCCCGTAGCCCTATTCTCTGGCCAGTTGCCCTGCAAACTGCAGCAGTGGCCAGCTTGAGGCTGTGCTGGCCTTGGAAGCAGGCAGAGGAGGTAGGTCTGACTCCCCTGAGAGGGCAAAGAGCACTATTAATGCAATCAGAACAAGCACTTATTGAGTGCTTACTATTTTCAGGCCTGGGAACTAAGCACTTTCCATTCCTTAGCCTGCGTCATTCCTGCAGTAACCCCCGAGCGGTAGCTGTGGAAATGTGAACACAGAGAGTTTCCATCACTTGTTCCAAGGTCACCTTAACTTTTAGGAAGCCTCCTTAAAAAGAAATCTCTGCTTCTTGCAAGTTTCGAGTGGATTTAGAGAGAATGTGATTGGGGTTGATCAGGACATGAAATTGCAATCCAGGCAATAGGTCGTCCCCTCTCTCCCACTTGAAGCTGTTCTTGCCCCAGTCCATGTCAACACACTAAACCTAGTGCCTTAACTGGGATGACAGAGATGAAAACAAGGGTCCTCAAACCCATGACCACTGCAGTGTGGACACAGCATGAATCTCCTCCAATCCTAGGCCTGTTTTTCTACCTTAGCACTGTTGACCCTTTGGACCAGATAGTTCTTTGATTTGAAAAAAAAGGTTTTCTGTGCATTTGGGGATGTTTCTCTGGCCTCTACCCACTAGCACCTCCCACTTGTAACAACCAAAATGGTTGCAGATATTGCTAAAGGCTCCCAAGAGGACAAAATCACATCCCTCCAGTTCCTCACCCCTACCCTTTGCAGAGTCACTGACTTAGACCTACCCCTCGAAGCATCTGACCAACCATCCAACAGCACCCAGAGCTCCCTTTTTCCATCCTCTGTGCCTTCTCACTCAATTTTTCTAGCTGCTTTGGCAGTAGATGCTGTGACTGTGTTGGTGATAGCCGACTGGCAGGAGCCCTGACTGCCAGGCACTCCCAGGAGACTCAAGGACAGAGCCAGCTTCTGATAGTCAAATTAGAAATATTTCCAACCCATTGTAGATGTTTCCCCTCTTTTGACCCATCTCCCCTCAACACCCTCTTCTTTCATCCATATACAGGAAGAGGAATACGAATTCAGGATATCCTTAAAAATGAAGAAACAATGACAGTCTTTCTCACGAAAAACATTGGACTCTCTGACTTGGTTGTCCACCTTCTGGTCAACTCCCAAGTCCGTCCAGAACAGGTAGGGGATGTCAGTGTTCAGTGGTGCTTGGAGGGGAGGGGTGAGCACTGACCCCTGAGAAAGATCAGGAGAAGTTGGCTCTTTTTCCCTTCTTGCTTTCTCATTCTGGGTCCATGATTCACGCAGCATAGCCAGGAAAATGCCTCAGCTGGGGAGCATTCCCATCTGAAGATGCTGTGGCAATACGAAGCCTGGAGACATTTAAAACAATTTGAAGGAATTTTAGAGATGATGGGCTCAACCTCCTCTTAAGCTGAGGAAAACAAGGTTTATTCATGAATTTGTAGAATATGTAGGGACCTTTTAGGTACAGCCAAGCCCTGATTACCAGAGCTTACATGCCAGAGGGCAGCAGGTGATAATCAGGTGAGCAAATAATTTTATGTGTTTCCAGAGTGAGGTAGACACTGGGAGGAAGAGCTAGCAGGCCCAGGAGTTAGGGCCTGGGGTGTGGGATTGGGGCAATTTTAAATGAAATAGATGGGGAAGGCCTTTCTGAGGAGATGGTACTGGAGCAGTTTGGCAGCCCTGCAAATAACTGGGAGAGCACAGTTCTGGGCCAGAAACTGGCCATGTAATATGTGAATATGCCAAGATAACCCTCCCAGGTCACAGTGTGACAATAGCAGCATGCAGCGCAGACCTCTAATTCCAGGCCCCTTTTCTTCTCAGTGCCAGGCAAACCCCTTCCATTCCCCTTGCACATTCTGATCTACCTCCTTATCCCCCGCCAATCTATTTGCTCAGTTTTCATAATCTCCAAATTTATTGAGAGCATTTTTACCACTAAGATATAACTCCCAAATATGTCAGTTTCTGTGTTTCTTGCATTAATAATGAGATGGGGGGCCTCCCTGGTGGCACAAGTGGTTAAGGTGCAGCACTATGAAGCTATCCATAGCCACTGCAGCACAAGTTTGATTCCCGGCCAGGGAGGTGACTCACATGGTGCAGCAGACATCTCTCCTATCTTGGCCACTGCTCCCCTGAGCAGTGTATTTCAGTCAGTCTGCCTGTTCTGTTCCCCACCCTGCCTCTAGTGAATCCTTTTACCCCCCACATCTCTGGCCTGCACCCCAGCTTTTGTGTGCATAAATAAATAGATCTTTTTTTAAAAAGTAATGAGAAGGAACAGATGGGGAAACTGAGGCAGCTGGTGTTTGCAATAAGCACAGTTATAGAGCTAGAAACTGTCAGAGCTGGAGCAGAATCCAGGTCTCATTCTTAACCCCCTGCTCCTTATCCAAGTGCAGTGGATCTCAAGGTCTGTGACCAGTTGCTTCAGCAGGGACTGGGAGCTTGTTAGGAATGCAAGTTCTCAGGCTCCCGCAGACTGAACAGTGATCTTTTCTAACAGGTCTCCAGGTGATTCTGACGGGCTCTCTTCTGGGGCCTCACGTACTCCTGCCCCAGCAGACTGGGTGTGTAGGCCCCTGGAGTGATGAACACAGTGAGAAAGCAAGATAAGCAGTGGTCCATGGTACAGACACCCCTCCTGCCTCTCCTGGCCAGGTCTGCACCTCCAGGCTCCAGGGGAGACTGAGACATAAACAGAGAATCTCAGGGCTGTGTCATTCTTGAGATAAATGTCTGCATGGGGTGATGTCTGAGCCCAGAGGAGGGAGGGGAGCCCATCTGCCTGTTTGGGGCTGGTGCTGTTGAAGGGGATTTTGAGTAACTTCCCTGAACAACAATGAAGAAGCCCATACCTGCTTTTCTGGATTTTCAGACCCTGAGGTTTTCACTGAAACTAGACAAGGGGGAGTGAGGGACAGCCCTGAGACAGCGCCGTGTCGTGGCCCTAGAAGCCTGGCGGCCTTGGAGCCCAGGCCCTGGCCCCAGTGGCTCCTGCAAGGCCCTTGGAGCCAGGCCTGGCTGCCTGGCCCAGCTCTCTTCCCCTCCCATCCTTACCCAAGGGGGTGACAGCCTCACTGATTGCTCATTTTCCCCTTTGCTTTCTCTTCATCTCATAAAATGTAAGTCCTGGAAATGCCTGTGATGATTTCCAGTTGGTAATAAAAGGGAGATGGAGATAAGGGCAGGAATTTAGGGGGAATTTCTTTCCAGTTCCTCAGTGATGTGATATTTGGATCACAGCGCAGTTGCTGTGTTGCTGGCATCGGGCTTGAGGTCTTTCATGTGGAGAGAAGAAGCTGGGGTCACCGGGTTGTGCCTTTATTTAGTGTTGCTGGTTCTGACTAGCAAACCCTTCCCTGGTCAGCAAATCCCAGAGCTTAGAGTTTCTGCTCTAGCAGGAGCTGTTCACACTGCCCAAGCTCCCTGTGTGGCTACCTGTCCACCCCGTTTCTCAGCCTGGCCTTAGCCTGTCTCCTCATCTCTATCCAGATCTCACCCTCTTCTGTGACTCCTTGCTAGCACTGCACACAAAAAGAACTTTCCTCTACGATGGCAATGTCCTCTCTCCTGCTGTCCAGCATGGTTGGCTGGTGCTTGAAATGGGGCTGGTATGGCTAAGGACCTGAATTTAAAATGTTACTCAGTTTTTATTACATTTGACCCTTGGACCCCTAAACAGTCAAAAATCCAAGTATAACTTTGGACTCTCCCAAAACTTAACTGCAATCATCTATTGGTGTCTGTAAAGGATAAGTTTCAGGACTCCCGAGGATACCCAAACCAGTAGATGCTCAAGTCCTTGATAGTAGGCCCTCGGTAACCAGGAGTTCCTCGTCCTCAGGTTCAACCAACCGGCATTCTCCAGTAACTGAATCCTTGAATTTGGAATTGCAGATAGAAAAAATTCTGCACATAAGTGGACACAAGTAGTTCAAATTGATGTTGTTCAAGGATCTGCTGTATATTAAGTTTCAATAATCACATGTGGTTTGTAACTCTCTAATTCATCAATTCCAAACATGAGGTTTTGCCATCGGTACTGAATACCTCTCCTGGTCCTTTCTGCCTGGTACCTGAGCACAGCTTGAAGGGGAATTACATCCCCCCTCCAACTCTTCCTAGGGGATAATTAGGCAATGAGAGGGATACAATTCTCTGGCCTGTTCTCATCCTTCCACCACAGCCCTGTGAACTTCTGGACATGCTTCCAGGCCAACTTATTTTGTTAATTCCTCAGTGAATGGTTTATTAACCCTCCTTTCTTTGTCTTGCCCCCACCCCTCCTTACTGGACAAAGAGCTAATAATAGGTAATAGTTAAGTACAAGTTCTGGGTTCAAATTTTAGCCAGTAACAGTAAACTGTGTGACCTCATGCAAATTAATTAACCACTCTATGCCCTCTTTTTCATTAGTAAAATGGAGATAATAAAAGTTCTAGGGGTTAAAAGAATTAGTACCTGTCAAGCACTTAGAACAGTGCATGGCACACAGTAAACACCCCATAACTACTAGCTATTTTTACTAGCCACTCTTAGTGCGGCCTCTTCTGCGCTCTGGTTTCACTGTGTTCAACCTAACATTTATAACTATCTACATGCCTGCATTTCCCGCCAGCCAGTAAGCTCCTAGAGGGAGGAGATTAGCTCTATTTCCTTTGTATCCACTATCCTAGTGCCAGCAGATTGGGAATTCAGTGAGTGAGCATTGAATGAATGAGAGACTAGAAGAGAATGAACCGGAGCTTTCCTGCTGTGTGATTTTCTCATGTCTCCTAACTTCTCTGTTATTACTTCTCCAGAACATTAGAGATTTGGACAAAATGAACTCATTGATTTCATCCACCTCGAAATGTTGTAGACCCTAGGATTAGAGTTGGGAGTGGGATTTTTGCCTGGGGATGAGAAGTGACGTGTGGGCTGACTGGGAAGGCTCTTATGGAACATGCACCCAGTTACAGAGACTGAAAGAGTCCAACTGACCCATGGTCAGTGGTAACCGGTGCCTCATTTAGAGACCAGGCTTCCATGTATGATCTGGGCTGTTTCCATGCAAGGGAATAATAAAGACTGCACCTACTCTGTTCTCCAGCCTCGAGGACTGTGTAATTGGAAGCCGTGGGGAGACAGTGGGTTCCAGGGAAGTTGAAATACTCGGGATCTTGTTCATTTCTGGGACTCCAGGAGTCCAGTTGCTGTGGCAAGTGGCCAATGGTTCCTGGCCAGGGTTGAGGCCTTCTTAGCCTCTAGAGGCCTTCCTGGGGATTGTGCTTCACTGACACAAGTGCCACAGGGGCAGTGGGATGTGAGCTACCTGGGGGTTCATGGCATCAGATAAGACACAGGATACCTGGTTAAATTTGAATTTCAGGTAAACAGGAAATAATTTTTCAGTTCAGTTATATAACCCATTTTGGATTCAGTTTGGAACATACTTACACTAAAATTTTTTGTTGTTTATCTGAAATTAAAATTTAACCTGGCATCCAATATTTTTATTTGCTGAATCTGGTGAGAGAGGAAATCACCCTGAATGTGTTCTAGCCACTCCCACCTCAGCATGGGGCAGTAGGTCCTCATGACATCTTAGTATCTGGTGCTTAGGGAGGTAGTTCTCAAATTTTAAATGGCTCTCTGATAAAATGCAATGTGGGAGTACATTAGATTCCAATTGCTACTGTAACAAATTACCAAAAACTTAGCGGCTTTAAACAACACATCTATTACCTTATGGTTCCAGAGGTCAGGTGTCTGAAAGTCAAGGTACCAGCAGGGCTGTAGTCCTTTCTGCAGCACCTTTTCTGCTTTGTAGAGACGGTCCACATTCCTTTGCTGGTGGCCTTTGCTCATCTTCGAGAGCAGCAGTGACCATCAATTCTTCCTTACATTACATTACTCTGACACTCTTTCTTCTGCCTTCCCACACTTAAGGGACCCCTGGGACTACCTTGGGACCAGAAGATAAGACAAAGAGATGTCTTAAAGTCAGTTGATTAGCAGCCTTAATTCCATTAATAATCTTAATTCTCCTTGCCAAGCTATATAACATACCCATACATACCCACAGATTCTGTGGGTTGGGACATGGACATCTTTGGAGGGCACTGGTGTTCCATCACAAGGAGATTTCCAGTGTTGCTTCTCCCCCTGCAGTTTGCTCATAGGGTCCCAGATCTATGGCTCAAGGACATTGCCTGCAGTGAGGCCCTCCTAGAGCATTTCCTGATCTTCAGCCAGCGGCGTGGGGCTCAGATGGTGCGTGAAGCCCTGTGCCCACTTTCCCAGAGCACCCTGCAGTGGATAGAGGACACCCTGTACGCCAGTGTGGGCTTCTTCAAGTTCTTCCGTGTGGTAAGGGAGGGGCTTAGCTGTTTGCCCCTTAGAAAGTAATTCCTGGGGGCAGTGGGGCCTGGTGGCAGGCCATTGGGAATTCATGAATCGCTGATAGGGGGTAGGGGATGTGAGGTTGGTGTTCAAGACAGTCCTTGAGGAAGCTCCAGGCTCTGAGGCCAAGGAATCTTGACTGATGGTATTTCTAGAGCCGTGGCCCAGGCACCAGGGAGTCCCTGGGCCATTAGGTATGTGGTGGAGGCAGGTCTGAGTCTATTCCAAGTGTGGGGTAAGTCCTCTCTACCACCACTAGCAGCATACAAAGGAGAAGGAGGCTTGGTTTTACTATGCCCCCCGCCATTTCCTAGCCAGGTGATTATGGGCAGGACAGTTGACCTTTCCTGCTCATGTACAGAACAAATATAATACTTTATAGACTGGTAGGAAAAGATATATGGAAAAGCATTCATAAATTTCAATAAATGAGAGCTTCACACTCACTGCTCTGTATCTGCTCTTGAACCCAATGGATACTGTTTCTAGGGAGGAAAAAAATAACAAAGAAATTTTTCTACTCTGAAAAGATTGCAAGGCCCTGATCTAGCTCAACCCTCTGGAACTGCATCCCAGACAGACTTTTCGGACCTGATAATAGCTCTTTTGCTAGAGGTTCTCCGGAGCAGCGGCTCTCACACTTCAGAGAGTATGAAAATTTTCATGGAAATAAGTGAAAGAAGCAAGCTCCAAATTCCCACCCCAGAGACTGAGTCAGGAGGCCTGGTCTGGGCCCAGAATCTGTCCTGCTACCTTAAGTGTTTCTGATGGGCTTGTTATAGGCCAAGATTTACGAAACACTCAAAATTAGATTCTTTCAGAGAAGGTGACATACATATTATTTCTGACACTGAGTTGCATTTTTTTCTTTCTCCTACATCTTAATTTCTGGCACTATGTTGTGGACAGGGCCTGTAACTGAGAACTAGTTGAGAAATTTGTCTTTTTGTGGTTGCTCTTTCAAGCCCCAGAAAACCCACTCTCAGCTTCTCATAAAAGGAAACTGAAAACATTTTAAAATTTAAAAAGACCCCATAGCTTCTGGCAGATTCACACTTCAACCTCTTCAAAGTGTGGCTTTCCTTGGAATGTTACTCTACAGTTTAGCTATTAATAAGGGAGGCCTACGCTGGCCTAAAAAGGGGAGAAGGGCCCAACCTACTCTACCGAGAGCCCAGGACCCTCTTGGTGCCCCATACTGTGGGGGGAATAAAAAGCCTGTGGTTCAAACTCCTCTGCCCAAAGTTCCCAGAGGAAACCAATTTTGGACACACTCCTTGGTTTTCTTTCAGAATCAGACAGAAGAGGAAGGCCATAAAGATCCTTATTCTAGGCAGCAGGACACCAGCACAGCTAGTAGACCTGTACCTGTGTCTTCAGAGCTGCTGGAGCACCCAGGGTCATTCAACCCTCTGGTCACATAAAAGGGGCAGGTTGCAGAATCTGCTATGTTTCCTTAGGGGATTCTGAGGTCTGGGCCTTAATAAATGTGAACAGGGGAGGTGCTTTTGCAAGCACCTGGACAACTGACAGATAAATAAACCTTCAGGGCATGACCAGTAATTCTGGGAGGACAGGTCTGGATGTGGAAGGATATAGGGGCACCTGGACTTTGCATTTGGAATTGGACCCAAACTCAGGTCATTGGTTCCAAAGTATTTATTTATTAGACAAGAAAGACAAGAAAGTCTCTCCTCCTGCCCTTGCATGCTTTCCCAGCAGGGCTAGAGCTCAGAACCCAGAGGACAACTTCGGCCTTGCACCTTCCCTGACCAGAAATGGGTCCTGTGTGCTCGCCCACCATCTCTGCATGTGGGCTCATTTTTCAAATCTGCATTGGCAGCTTGTAAGGGGCCAGCACTGTGCAGAGGTCAGGGCTCCAACCATGGCCACCCAGCTTACACTGACCCCCCCCCCGCCCCCATCACCCCTGAGACAAGCAAAAGGCCACATCCCAGCAACCAGGCTAAGAAATGCCAACACTGACAACATTTGACCCCAGGCCAGCGGTCACCAGCCTGGCTGCACACTAAACTACTGGGGAGCTTTTAAAACTACTGAATGCTCCGCTCCCACCCCCAGAGATTCTAATTTCCACTGACCTTCAGTATTTTTAAAAGCTTCCCAGATCCTTCCAATGTTCATCCAGAGCTGAGAATTACTGACCTAGAACATGGAAGCATTATTTACAGTGCCAATTTCTGGACTTCAATAATAATAATAAATATAAATATATAAAGATTATTATTATGATAAAAATAATAGTATCCCAAATGCCTCTATGGTTTTGAAGCACTTTCATTTGATCACCCATAAACCTGGGTGCTGTGGAGACCCATCCTCACAGTCCTTCTTTTGATGAGGTATGGCTCTCCTCAGCCTGGGAGCTTTCTACAGGGCAGTGTTTGTGGCCCTGGTGAGGTACCCATGTCCCTGAACCTGCAACAGGAAGCCAAATTTCAGGAGGTGGCACAGGCTTGCCCAGCAACAGGGAAAAGAAAACCTTACTCCTGGAGTAAGCTTTGTGGGCCACTTACCTCCAGAATTTTATGAGACTCAGATCCGAGGGTGTTTCTCCCAGTTTGGCACCATCGCAAGATTCCAACTGTCCAGAAGTAAAAAGATTAGAATTAGCAGAGGCCAGGCCTTTGAGGAGTTGGAATCTGAAGATGTTGCCAAAATAGTCGGTGAAACAATGAACAACTACCTTTTTGGTGAAAGACTTTTTTGTCACTTTATATCACCTGAAAAAGTACATGAAGAGCTTCTCAGAGGGTGACATGTGCCGTTTAACCCCCATCATTTCCAGCAGTGAAACCACATTACCAAAATCGGACTCTTCTCCAAAAGCTTTGGGTGGAGGAATAATTTAAAAAGAAAGAATAATTACCCTAGAAGAAATTGGCTAAAAAAGAATTGATTGTAATTCTTCTTTTTACACAAAATGGAAAAAAAATGCTTCAGACTTGTATGAAATCTACAAAGACCAGGTTTTACCTAAGAAGAACAAAAAGGTTTTGGTTACTCCCACCACTCCTGAGAAGACAGTCGAGAGCCAGGGCCCCAGCACCAATTTGTATGTGAGCAATTTTGAGTAAATGAAAATCTGAAGAGGTTAAAATGAACGATGATGATAAAGGTGACGAAATTGTTTTCAGACAGCCCACAGGTGGTATAAAAGAAGAAACACCTTCAAGGAGAAAAAGACAAAGAAAAAGCACCAATGAGTCTAAATGCTGAAAAATGTGGTTTTATTATCACATTTTATTATCACAAACCATAGTATGGTTTTTTTAAAATAATATTTTCTCATTATGATTATCTTAATATTCTTTTCTTTTTTATTTATTTATTTATACAAGCATTGGGTACAGTCAGAAGTGCGGGAGGGTGAGAGAATTCACCAGAGCCAGAGCGGGGAGCAGAGCAGGCAGAAGGACCGAAGTACACTGCTGAGGGGAGCAGCGGGCGGCAGGAGAGGTCTGCACTCCACGTGGGACTCTCCTCCGGTGGCCGGGGAGCAGCCGGGGATCCAAATGGCGGCACTGCAGGAGCTGCTGGCAGCTTCGCAACCTAGCGCTCAACCGCTGCTCCACCGGCGAGGCCCAATATGGTTTTATTATATTTGATTCTTGATATTTAACTAGATGCAATGGAATGCAACCATTGACAAATGTTTTCGAGGGAAAAGCTGTTGGTTCAAGTCTATAAGGAAAGCAGTCAGAGTTTCTGTTTGCTGCCCTTGCTGAAATCAGGGGGAAGCCACCTTGTAGGAGCCAGGCTCAGGGTGCCCCTTTGTCCTGATCCCCCTGGCTTTCTTTGCCCATTTCATAGCCATATTTAGGTGCTCTGCCTGGGTGGAAGAGTCACGGTTAATTGGGGGTGTGGAAGTGCTAAACTGCAGCCTTTGTCGTTAGCATTAAATAAAATAAAATCTTGCTTGACCAACAACAATGACAAAAAAAAGCAGATGAGGGGCTCCCAAGATGCCTAGAGAAGGAAGTGCAGGCAGGCCTCCAAGTTCTACCCCTTCTTACTGCTTTCTATATGTCTCTGGGGAGAAAAAACAGACCCAGACAAGTGTGCCCCAAGCAAAAAGGACAAGCACCCCTTCTGGTGTTCCTCAAAATATACTTTGCCCATTTGACAAATGGATGTAGAGGCTAAACATTTAAAAAATACATATGTACTAATATGTGTTTGGATTGCAGATGACAGCACTCACTTCTGATCTCCACAAGACACTCGGAGCAGACCCTCTGAGAGGGGCCTAGGCCAGGCGGGCCTCCATGCGACCAGGCTGTTGTTGCAGCTGGTTGGCGAGCAGCCACACTCAGCTCCACTCGGGGAAGGCTGTGCCTTCTGTTCTCCCAGGCTGTTTCTCACACGCATGCACACCAGTGTATAAATAAGGTTTTAGTAAATGCCAAGCCAGTGCTCATTAATAAAGAAAGAGGGACCGTTTCAGTAAACCACTGTAACAACAGCTGCTCCTGTTGTATAAAGAACTGGGGGTGTGCGTGGGGTGGGAGCGCAACCCTTGAGACCCAGGGACCCAGGGATCTTGCGTGACTGAGAGAGGGGAGATTGGGGGTGAGCACCAACTGGGCCAGCTGTGTTTTTCCTCAGCCCCTTGGAGATCAGAAGTTGTCATCCTCAATCCAAATGCAGTACCAACGACCTTATTCTACTGCACCAATCCTCATATGTACACACACACACACACACACACACACACACACACACACAGTGGGAGCCAGTGACCTAGGTGGCTGGGAAAGCAGCAAGCAGCCAGGTGGCTGGATTTTCTCCAAGGGGATTTAGCCCCTCTTGGTTTCTCTGCATTGAGATAGCTTGAAAGAGCTTGTCTTCACCTGTGGCCTCTCAGGCTTACTGCCCCCAGCTTGAAACCCAGCAGCTCAGACCTGGGCCCACGGTCTAATGACAGCCAGCACTGCCTGAAACGT